CTCAAGATGGTTCCAAGAAAAAGAATGCCTTCCTATCTCTAATCTATGAGGATAATGATCATTATTGCCACCCATCCTTTTGCAAGTAAGGTTTATTAAGCATTTTTAAACACTTAAAATTCAATCTAAGATTTCCTGTTCCTATTTATCCATAAAAATTAATTACACTTTTTACTTATCCACACGGACGACAGGGTTGTGGTTTTTCTCTTTCCATTTTCCCCCATGGAAAAAGAGAGAAAGTGTTGTTTACTTTGCTCTAAGCACTTGTTTTGAAAAGCTCCTTGCTCCTCACCTGGTTTTGAGTTAAAGCCACAGTCAGCAGCATAACTGGACCCAACCTCTAAAAAAAAAAACCCTACAAGCTTTCTCTCTTTTTCAAAAAGAGCAGCCTATGATCTACTTTCCGTACAGCATTTCTGAAGCTGACCATAAAGAACTCGGCAGTCTCCCAGTATAAACTCACCAGGATTACATCAAAGGCTTTTCCCTAGGATAAGACGATTGATTTCTTCAAGGCCTTTTAGAAATTCATCTAGGATATTTTGGGTTATTGCATTAGGCCTTACTCAGCGAGAAATTATAGCTATTCCGATTACTGGACGGAGATAGTCTTCCTTGTAGAAGAGAAAAAGGTGCCTTTGTGTCCCAGACGTATACGACAACTCAGCCATTTATAGGTCCACCTTGGTCTCTTTTCAGACATTTTGGAGTGCCGTTTTCATTTGTACATAAAATTTTGCACCAGAGGAAGAAATAACGTGAAAAGAACAAGGGTTGGGTCCTACCTCACATAAAAAGAAGAGGTCAACCTGTTTCAGCGAACTATTTATACTCATTCTTTCACATTCACTGGGGTTAACCTTCCTAATGCCATGACACCTTAATTCAGTTCTTCATGTTGTGGTGACCCCCAAGCATAACATTATTTTCCTTGCTACTTCATAACTGTAATGTTCTTCTTTTTAAATTGTTATTGCACTGTCTTTTTTATCTAAATGCACTTAATTGTTTTTGCTTTTGTATTGTATTGATGGCATCGAATTGTGCCGATATGTAGACCGTCCTGAGTCGCCTGCGGGCTGATATGGGCGGGATATAAGTGATGTAAATAAATAAATAAATGAATGAATGAATGTAATTTTGCTACTGTTATGAATTGTAAAGTAAATATCTGATTTGCAGGATGTATTTTCATTAACTGGACCAAATTTGGCACAAATACGCAATATATCCAAATTTCAAGACTGGTGGGGTTGATTTTGTCATTTGGGAGTTGTAGTTGCTGGGATTTATAGTTCACCTATAATCAAAGAGCATTCTGAACTCCACCAGTGATGAAATTGAACCAAACTTGGCACACAGAACTCCGATGACCAACAGAAAATATTGGAAGGGTTTAGTGGGCATTGACCTTGAGTTTTGGAATTGTAGTTCACCCACATCCAGTGAGCACTGTGGATTCAAATAATGATGGATCAGGACCAAACTTGCAATGCATACTTAATATGTTCAAATTTGAACACTGGTGGAGTTTGGGGAAAATAGACTTGACATTTGGGAGTTGTCGTTGCTGGGATTTATAGTTACTCTACAATCAAAGAGCACTGTGAACTCCACCAGTGATGGAATTGAACCAAACTTGACACACAGAACTCCCATAACCAACAAAAGGGTTTGGTGGGCATTGACCTTCAGGTTTGGAGTGTTAGTCCAGAGGGGGGGGGGGGCTTTTGGTGGGAGCCTTTGCTGTCTGTTTCCAAAAACGAAGAGAAGTACAAGCAGAGAAATCTTTGGCCTTCTCCGGCAAAGGATGCAAAATCCAGAGAAAAAGACAGCATGGAAATCCAAAACACAGAAGAGGAACTTGGCAAAACTCGAAACATGAAACTAGAAATCCACTTGGAAACAAGACCGTAATGGAGTTCCAACATTGACGAAACTGAGCTAAAACCCTTACCTTACAACCAGACAAGGGTTTCTTATCTTTCTTTTCCAGTAGATGGATTTACCTTCACCGATCCTGAGAACTCTGTCTCAGTTTACAAAAGTCTTGTTTTCTATCTTTACCATCATTAAATTCTGCACATGAAAAATCAACCTCAGAAGACTGCTTCTCATAGAAAGACTATTGTGGGTCTCTCCCAGGAATATGACCTTGTGAATCTGCAGGAGAAGCACTCCATGCATGAGACACGTCGGGCGTCTCAGCAAGGCCTGGGCTTGACTCAAGCCCAGAAAACCCCTTATTCCCACTGACATCAGACACAGGCCCAGAAAGTCCTTCGTCCCCATTGACATCAGACGCAATCACAGGCTGAATGACAACACTTTTGGAGAACTTGTGTAATAGTTCTTGTGTAATAGACAGATATAGAATTATATGCAAGGACTATTGGAATGGCCCGGATTACGATTATGGACTCTGTGGTTTAACAGTGGTATGTCATGTATCATGTTCTGCAGTTGGTGGTGGTTGGTGATGGTAGGGCTAGCAGTTGGTGATGGAAGGGTTAATGTAAGTCTTAGTTCTAAAGGGTTGAGTAATCTGTAAGTAAGAGTTTGTGGAGGCATGCAAGTATTTCTGGATATAATGAGCTAGCTCTGATCTTTGGGAGAAAAGTATTTGTCTTGTTTTGGTGGTAGATGCTGCTGATTTTCCCCCAGGTTTGTGGATTTTCGGTATCCTGACTTGTATCCTGTACTCTTTGAACCCTGGAACCTTGAATCTTTGGACTGGCTTTTGACTACAGTATAGACTCTTGATCCCTGGACTTTGCTTATTGAACTCTCGGTGTTTGACCACTGGACTGGATCTTTTGACTGCAGTGTTATCTTGAACTTGCAACAGTGTTTGCTGTCAGTTTTTGTTTTATAGCCTATGGCTATTTATATTTTATGTTTTGGACTATTAAAACAGCCAGAAACTAAGTGCTGCTTTAATTCAATTGTTTAACACAAACTGAGAGTTTGTTTGGTTCACTTCTGCCAGAATAACGGCAGAGCCCTGGCATCATGACATGGTGATATCAGTTTAAATGTTTTTAAATGTTTTCATGTACTGTAGATACTCAAGTATAAGCCTGCATACACATTCAGCCCCCTTTTTAGGCTGAAAAAGCTGCCCTCGGCTTATACTTGAGGCGAAGTTATTTATTATTTTACTCTGTTATTACTATTATTTTGTTACATTTATTGTTTTCCTCTATTATTGGTATTATTACATTGCCATTATTTTACTCTATTATTTTATTACATTAATTTTACTCTATTTATTATTATTATTATTATTATTACATTTATTATTTTACTCTATTATTAGCATTATTACATTTGCATTATTTTACTCTATTATTTTATTACATTTATTTTACTCTATTTATTATTAATATTACATTTATTATTTTACTTTATTATTGTTGTTATTACATTTATTATTTTACTTTCTTTATTATTATTGGAAGAATACGTAAGCACATTGACACTGAAAAAGGTTAGAATAATGGTTTAATCAAAGTTGGTCAGTCTTATTTTAAATTACTGTTTTATGTAAACACTGAAAAACATTTAACCTACTGTTTCCTCAATTAATGTAATTTTATTGGTATCTATATTTATTTTGTATTACCAGTAGCTGCTGCATTTCCCACCCTCGACTTATATTCGAGTCAATAAGTTTTACCAATTTTTTGGTGGTAAAATTAGGTGCCTCGGTTTATATTTGGGTCGGCTTATACTCGAGTATATACAGTATTTATAATTTTATTTTTAAAGGCTCGTTTTAATTGTACATTGTTTTAATGGCATCAAATAGCTACCTATGCGTAAAGACACCTTGAGTTCCCTCTGGGGTTGAGAAAGGCAGGGTAGAAATATCGTAAATAATGAAATAAATAAAACCAACACTGGGTTGTTGTAGGTTTTTCCGGGCTATATGGCTATGTTCTAGAGGCATTTTCTCCTGACGTTTCG